CGTTTCGTGTAACCATTTCCAGTTGAACTTTTCACCGTGTAATTGTCCAATGTATCAAACGGTATGTGCAATGTCCCAAACACATAAAAATCTGAATTATAACTCGATACAGGACAATTCAATATCCTTGCTACGGTAGCTATAGCATTATCAGCTTCGAATAAGCATTGCACATGACGAATATTCTTCTTTCTCCTAACATCTTTGAAAACTTCCTAAATATGTAAAGGAAAAAATTTCATTTTCTGTTGACAGATCGGAGAATAAGATAATGCTGTACGAACCTTTTCTCCAGTTCTAGATATAACTGTTTGCAGTTTCTTATCCTTGCAACCACCATCGATCAAAACTAATGGTACTACATTGCACTTTATCAAATCGTCAAAAAAATCCGATACTCGTTGAGCGTATTTATCGTAATCACCGCCAAAAACACAATTGCAGTTGTACGTATTATATATTTGACAGCTAAATAACTAAATACGTATCACGTGGCTCGAAATATTCCAAATAACGATCTGAACGATCGTTTATGAAAGTTGTTAAACCTGGAATACCCATTTTGAAACCTATTTATTAATTTACACTTTTCTTAATGTTTCATATCACAAACTAAGTTCGTTATGCGTATATCAATATTAGTTATTATGCATTTATACATAGGTTGCATGTAACAGGTACACAAATTTTGTGTCATTCGTTATTTTATTTGAATCAAAAGTTTGTTAAATATTATACTTTGACTACTTGGATAAATCAAAGAAATACAAGAGCTGTGCATAATGTTTTTGCATTGATCTTTACGATATTACAAACCGGTATAATAAAAAATAAAATTAGATAGTATACTGATCTTGCATAATTAAATGCATTGACGGGCGACAATACTAACGACGAATTTCCTTCCTATACATATAGGCAAATATACCATGTTCAGTTTTATTGCATAACTTGTTCCATAACAGAGATGTAAAGTGTCTCTGAGTTGTTAAATATAAAAGTTGTTACAAAACAGAGATGTAAAGTGTCTCTGAATTGTTAAATATATAAGTTGTTACAAAACAGAGACGTAAAGTGTCTCTGAGTTGTTAAATATAAAAGTTGTTACAAAACAGTGATGTAAAGTGTCTCTGAATTGTTAAATATAAAAGTTGTTACAAAACAGAGATGTAAAGTGTCTCTGAGTTGTTAAATATAAAAGTTGTTACAAAACAGAGATGTAAAATGTCCCTGAGTTGTTAAATATAAAAGTTGTTACAAAACAGTGATGTAAAGTGTCTCTGAGTTGTTAAATATAAAAGTTGTTCAGTTTAGTTGTTCCCACAAATGAGATTTTCTTGGTCTTTAAAAAGACCGGTTTTCTCCCTTGGCCGCTGTTCGTGAAACATCTTCTTGGCCGCCATCTTCGATTTTGATCGAATGTAAATCTTCAATTAAATTCTTCATCTCGATGCGGTCCGTCTTGCTTGGTGGTTGGGAGATAACTCCCCCGCGCGGGCCTCAGAGGGCTCTTATAACGTTTCAAGGAGCACGGACGATGGTCGCCCCCAGCGGACTGGCTGCTGATTGGCTCGTTGATACTTTGGCTTGACTGCATAAAAGTGGACACAGCTGGGCAACTCTTTTCAGTACTCCTGGAACCGCCGGGGGTACTGTAACGCGTTTTTTTCTTTCTGTTTCAGATATCTTCTGCGATGCTGACCAGGAAGGAAAGGATCACCGTTTGGTATACACGTAACTAATATTAATATAACTAATCCATGTATTGTGTTTTTCTTCCTTTTTATGTATATGTATAGGTATATAGGTATTGTTGTACATATTTGGGTTGTTCCTTCCACTAATTTATTCAATTATTTTCCTTTCAGGTTTTATCATATTACATCGTTGGTTTGATAATTTTTCCAATTATTTTGTTATTCGTCTTGCGCTTCGTTGGGTTGTTCCTTTCCAAATTAATCTATTATTGCACATCGTTGGTTTGTTTTCTTCCTATTAATTCGTTTCTTCATCTTACTGCGTTGGGTTGGTCAATTCATTACTTCATACAATTAGGTTTTGGTTTTGATTTCTTATTTAGGTTATTTTTTTACATGTACTATTAATTAACTATTAATTTTTACGTTAGTTTTTATGCAGGTCAATTTCTAGGTCGCCAACAGATGACGTCGGATTCATCGGGATTTACACGTAAGCGATTAATTTTAAGGCGCAGCGCGAATGTAAAAATTAACGTCGAATTTTTCTTTTTCCTTCTTTTCCTTGTTTTTCCGATGTTTCCTATATTTCATTAATTCACATTAATTCTCAATTCCACCTACGACGTTAATTTTCAATTTACATTGTATATTATTTTATTTACTGCGTAGATTGCCAAGTAATGAATTAATTAATAGCTTATTTTCCAGTCTCGTTTCCCCGTTTCTAGCTCCGGTCACCGCTGCTTTGATGTAAAAAGCAAGTGATCGGCCGTTTAGATGGTTCGAAGGGTCGGTTGCCGTCCTCTGGTGAGACAATTCTAGGGAAAGAGTCATCGGCCGTAGAGGGGACCTGTTCCTGTCTGCGGTAGCCCCGACTCAGGATCTCTCTCCTGTGTAAGACGTCCCGGGTTGGGTCCTACGGGCTCCCAGCAGGGCGCGTTGGAGAAATGGGGAACCCGTGTCTGGTGCGTCGATTCTCCTCCCCTTCAATTGGACTTGCTAAGAGGTAACGAGCTGCCCCTTTTGACCCGCTATTCGGTACGTGTCGCACCTCATGTTCCTACTGCACTGTGCAGTATTGTGTCGCGTTTCGTCGTGTCGCGTCTCCCACAATTTCGCTTCATCCTTTGTTTTAGAAAAGTAATTACTTGGCATCTTTTTTTTTGCGTAATCTAGTTTCTAAGTGTGTAAAAAGGAAGGTCGATCGAACTTTGTTCCATCGATCTCACTTTGGGTCTCCAATCGCAGCAACCTCCTCGTGGTGAGACCTGGTAATCGGTGTTACCTTTCAAGAAGAACTTCTTCATTATGGGTAACACCGAGCTAATGGCTGCGAATTTAAAACAATATAAATTTCAGTTTTAATCGAAATCAAAATCAAATGTTGTCTAATACTTTTTTCTAGGTACTACTTCTAGAAAAAATTTCAATGATATAAGTTTTACTATTGTAAAAGTTATGATCGTTTGAAAATTGACAATTTTTCTGAGCATTTTGTCACTTTACGACGTTAAGGAACAACTTTTCGAGTATTCTTCGTATTCAACCACCAAGCAAGACGGACCGTATCGAGATGAAGAATTTAATTGAAGATTTACATTGGATCAAAATCGAAGATCAAGAAGATGTTTCACGAGCAGCGGCCAACGCGACAAACCGGTCTTTTTAAAGACCAAGAAAATCTCATATTTGGGAACAACAACTAGACTGAACAAATAAACTGAACAACTTTTATATTTAACAACTCAGAGACACTTTACATCTCTGTTATGGAACAACTTATGCAATAAAACTGAACATGGTATATTTGCCTGTATAGGCGAAAAATATACAAATACAAATTGAATTTATTGAATTGATATTAAATAAACATTCTTTGCTATAAAATCAAAAAATTATTATTTGAAATAATAGAACAATTAGGAAATAAATCGTTTGAAAATAATTTCGAAGGTCTTACTTGATAAACTATATTCAAACGATTTATTTCCAAAGTATTGTTTTATGTCAAACATGATCAGGGGGTCTTGAAACGTGTATTTACGTGTCAATTTTTCATTCAATATGGACTTTGGTTATACATATATTTGTGCCCATATAACTTGAAACGTGAAAATGTCGGGGCAGTCGAGATTCGAAATTGTATGCCATTGAGACGCGAGGACGGACTTCATTCAGCTGTTCAAGAACAAGAAGGAACGGCTCCTGTTCACGTTCTTTACCGATTTCCCGAAGTTGCATCAAGTGCTGACCTGGCGTAACATGTGGCTCGTGCGGTAGGATATGTCGGCTTTCCCCACCACTCTGTTAAAAGCTAAGGAAGTTCGTCGTTACTAGTGTCGCCGTCGATGCAGAATGTGTAAATCAAAATCAAATGTTGTCTAATACTTTTTTCTAGGTACTACTTCTAGAAAAAATTTCAATGAGATAAGTTTTACTTTATTTATTTTCAAAAATCGTATTAATAATATACATACATATGTGTGCTCATACATGGGAATAAAAAAACATTTCTTTTTTTTCAATAATTAAAATATGCTCAGGAGGTCTTAAAACGTGTATTTCCGTAAAATAAATTTTACAAAATTTTTTTTTCATTATGGGTAATTTGCTTATGTGCGCCTACATAGGTCGCGAAGTAAAAATGCCTGGGCAGTCGAGAATCCAAATCGTATGCCGTTGACGGGAGGTCGGATTTCAGTTGTGTGGGAGCGAGAAGGCAAATGTGAGCCTTTCTCTCTAGACTTCCACGAAGCGGTCCGAAATTACTTCGTATCTGGCATGTGGGAGTGTACACCCTACGGTGCTTTTCTGGCATCACTGACATGAACGATTCCAGATGCGCTTGGCAAACAAGCACGATGAGTTGTATATACCCAGGGATCATTTCAGGTTGTATGTATTATACATGGCCGTCGTACGTTTTGGATCTCATAGATACATCAATTTTGATTAATACACACACACACACAAAAGCTATGGAAATGAAAGAATGATAGATTTGCAAAGGATTGGATGTTAGGGGTAGGCCAGTTTTCTATTAAGCTGCAAGCATTATTTTCGCTTAAATTATGCATCGCGCAAAACCGCGATATGTTTCTCCATACTTTCATTAGTAGTACTTGTTAAATTTGAAATTTATCAAGTTCCTATTGCAGTTATAAAAGTATATTTTCGTTCCTAGGTCTATGGGCTCGCTCTGTAAGCGTTCTCTCAGTCGAGAATGTTATTTTCGCGATCTATCGTACGATTCCCGGATCGTAGTTATCGCTATATAGAATGATCAACTCTGCTACGGTATAGTATAAACAAGTGCTTTATTCGTTATTCGACATTGACAGAATTCACAGGCTTTTAGCGATTTACAATGATACGATTACGAGAATAGGTTTTTACTTTTTCACGCCGAACAATCGTAATATTCTGGACACTGGTCGTTCGTTTCCCATTGACCGAGGAACATTGTTATTGTCGGTTAACGATATTCGCGGTAATATTAACGCGTAAATGTATTTAACTTTCTTCGGACAACACTTTCTCTTCGTTGATCGGTCATTTCGTTAAATTGTTTTGTTTCTCTTTTATTCCCTGTACATCTCTGGATCGAGTACTTTAACCAGTGTCGGATGTGCGGGACGAAGTGTCGGCGTTACTGTGATCGCTGTTGCTCTCCGTCGACGAACTATCGTTGCTCTTTATTCGTCGCTTCCGCAGCTTTGCGAACTGAAACTCCTCGACCGGCACTGTACACCAACAATTCAAGTCGTTATTAGTTTCTCGAGTAATCACGCGACGAATTTAGGAATAGGGGACTCTTGTACACCGGAACGATCAGGAAATAAAATAGAGTAACTGCGTCTAGTGGAATAGAACGACAGACATTTATATTTCTTGGAGATGTTCCTAAACTTGATTTCATTACAGTGTCACTCTTACGTTACAGCCACGGTATCGAAATCATTTCTATGATTCAATGACCGATTTTGACGATATCTCTTATTAAAGTTTATTAGATCGCGTACTATGGCTGTAACATGTACATTGTATAATATTAACAACGAGCAGAAAGAGAATCTTATGTTTCTAGCGATGAACGATGTGCAATAACTTAATTAATGCTTGCCGAAGTGTTGTGTTTTATTGGTAAATCGTTATCAATGATATTGTTGGGTTTTTTAAATTTATACGAAACTAGTTATATTCTTTTTATATTTTTTTAGGTCACGATGCGAGCCGCTGCATAGCAAATGCTGTGTTTGCACAGGCAAACAGGAACAATTTGAACAGAAATCATTTAACGGCGACAAACTGCTTGCTATTGTACACGAAATTTATCGATTACTTTACCGATTACTTTTCATTATAACATATTTATCAAAAAGGAGTAACAGTCGTTCAGAATCTTTGCTTATAGTTTAAATATTTTTTGTAATATATGTATGTATAATAATTAATAATCTTTTTACCACAGTAACATCCTAATATAATCGAAATTTACTTACAGCCACTTTATTTCTTTCTAATTATAATAACACAAAGAGCTTCGATTCAACGAAACAAACGGAAAACGTTACTATAGAAATATATGTAAAATTTCAACAATATCTCGAGAAATAGAGAAAAATTAAATAATTTTTTATAGTAGCAGTTAAAGAACATTTAATACTCGAACGACAAACAAGTTGTTTGCAATTGAAGCAAATTCATTGCACAGCAATACGATTACTTGTAGTGCAAGTTTGGTTACCATCAGAATCTGGATCTCGATCCGTAATATTTTGCGGTGTGCTTGGTAATGGTACAACTTCAGGTTCTAGTGGTTTTACAGGGCAGTCTACATCCTCGACAATTACTTCTTCTGCCAAACTGCTTCTGACCGCCTCTACACCAATAAAACATCTATTATGAAGAAAATGAGCATTTTATACATCAGATTTTTAACACAGTTTACGTGTATCTACCATTGAATGCTTGAGGATATTGTTGGCTCAATTTGGTTTTTACAATACGAATTCTTTTAAAAATATAATCCAAATCCTTTTTCATTTCCACCAAAAGTGCTGTATGTTTTTTGAACTCATTACCACCAGTCTTTAATCTATTTATGGATAGCTGATTGCAGTTTGTTAACATCTCGTTGGTTTTTTCAAATCTCTGTAGCCTGCATTAGATAACATAATACACGATAAATAAATTACAGCCCTTTGCACCTAATAACAAGACACAGAGAATAAAATTCTCACATTTGCTTCTGGGCTCTTATCATAGATTCTACATCCTGTTGATCGACGATCCCAGCCAAGCCTTGTATAAATACCTCTGGAGCTGTATAATTTTGGAAGCATTCGAAGCTCCCTGTATCCGATTCGGGTGTACCTTGTGCAGTTGCCATATTTTCAACGTTTCATATCCTTTTATTATAACGATCGTATGTTTGTAATTTCATCGTCGCCACTCCTTTTCACCTCTTTGCACCATAGTTATCTTTTTATATGATAATTCAAATCGGATACCAAAGTTATATTATAACTATAAAACTACTTTTGCAAATTCGTTCGATACGCTCATCGTGCCGATTGTAACTATATAGGTGAAGCCGACATTAACTCAGTATCATGATTAAAAAATTAACATTAAACATCCGATAAAAACCAGTTTATAAACTACTGACGATTTGATAACGAAAATATACTTTCAAGTTCATTCCTGTCGCTGTCCGATGGCTCATTTGCTATTGCGCGTACATCATCTTTAATCAATGACAAGTATACATTGCCGAGTATGCGTAAACTCGAACACTAGAAATGTTAATTCTCGCCATTTATATCACTGAACCAGAGTCTATATTTTCTCCAATTGCAATAGATTCATGGAACAAACAGCACGCTTTGCCTTTAACAGCTGTTCGAAGTCAAATGTTTTTACGAGGGTTGATACAAGTTGTAGCATTCAAATTTCCACAGTGACTGTTGTGCCTCGAACCGAAGCTTCGGAAATCTTACGTGAGGAAAAAGAAATCCCAAGGACTTATCGCGTACGATTTTCGACCCGGAATGGCACAGAATATAAATCCATTTTATTCGTCTCAAAACGCACCGAGCAAAGCTGCTGAAGAAAAGCAGAATGTACCGAAAGACAACCATGCAGTTAGTAAACGGTACGCAAATTGTCTGATATTTAGAATGGAAGTTTGTAAATTGAATTTACTTCCGGACATTTTACATCGTTATCGATAAGCTACTTTTTTTAGTTTCTTTTCAACCAACGTCAAGCAAAAGAAACATTTTTTAATAAACATTATACCGAAAAACATAACCTACTTACTAACAGTGTTTGGGCGAAAAATTTGAAATTGGCTCGATCCCAAATTGTAAATACTTGGTGTGATCGCGGGTACATTTTACAGTAGGTTTATTTAAAAATAGTTACCGTCCATTCTAGTAATATAAATAAATGCACGTGTAGGTTGCAGAAGGAACTCATGGTTTTAATGATGAGTACGGAAAAAGGTGTTTCTGCTTTCCCCGATGGGGAAAATTTGTTCAAGTGGATCGGAACTATCACAGGACCAAGGGATACGGTAATATTCTTCACGCTATAGCCAAAAACATTCATAAATGTAACATTTTTATATTTTATTTCAGGTTTATGCTGGTCTTACTTATAAATTGACTTTGGAATTTCCTCATAGTTACCCATATAGCGCACCGGTTGTACGCTTTGCTACTCCTTGTTTCCATCCAAATGTAGATGCAGTGGGTAATATTTGTTTGGATATATTAAAAGATAAATGGAGTGCTCTATACGATGTTCGTACTATACTACTATCTATACAATCTCTTCTTAGTGGTAAAGTATACCTATGTTATTTCATACCTATATTATTTCTGTTGCTAATTGGATCATTGAAATACAAATGGTATCCTATTTTATAGAACCTAACAATGAAAGCCCTCTTAATCTTCAAGCAGCAAATCTATGGAGCGATCAAACAAAGTATAAGAAACATTTAACGGAAGAATATCACAGAGCTTTGAATCGTGATCAACAAGATTCTTGATAAGTCCATTTTTCTAATCATCTCAGCTGATTCATTATTTTTATTTCCGTCAATGTTACAATTAGATATAAGGCATATAAAAACTTGCTGCACCAAACTTATGAATGTCATTAGAAAAAAATTCAATCTTGTATTTTCTGGTTTTGATTTCTCATCTATACGTTGTATTACGCGAGGAAAAAAAAAAAAAGTCATTTTTACATCGATATCATTGCTAATCGCTCTTTTGCTAATTTCGTAAATTTGTCTTGAAGATGAATAGAAATTTGTATCATGATTTTAAGACTGTGTATGTGGATTAAACATTTTTACATCATCAATTTGTACCAGAAACGTTTATTTATTTTTTACTTTTAGTAATATATATATTGACTTTCGATATATTTTAATATTCTTTACAAGTACCAGTTACAGTCGACGTTACGTCATTTATTATTATTGTGTAATTCGAAAATAAATATTTTAAACATTAACCCTCTACAGTTTATTGTATACTCTAATAAACTGGCATTAATTGACTTGCAGGTAATGTAGCCAGTGTATTTCAGTTTCATTTTCGTCGAGTACATCTTAATGCACGAGTTCTCGAATCTACTGCAAACAAATACATATATTGTGCGTGAAAAAAATTAGCGACATGCCTACAAACTTTAAGGTCATAGTAATCGGCGGGGTCAACGATTTTCTAAATAATTAACAAACTGATATTTCTGTCGGGCGTTCGAATTTAGTATTACGCAATCGTATTGCGCGGTCCGCGTTATACCAGCCGAGCATGTGACGGCAGGCATACTTGTTAGTGTCAACGTGGTGGCAAGAAGTCGCTAATCATGACATTACATTCAAGTTTCACGAACAAAATATTGAGTTGTTTACGAGCCAATTCTTCCATAACGTTTCTGAATGGTGGCAAATCATTTTCTTCGATGACACAAAGTCATGCCATACAGGTAACGTATGATACTTAATCTTATAAGATGAACATGGTAACTTTGGATAGAAACACGCAATTCGTTTAACAGGAAAGAAAAGTTGATGTCGACGGAGTGGATATCAATTACTTGAGTGTTGGGATCGGTAAACATCCAGTTTTGCTTCTACCTGGTGCTGCAGGTGAGTAAACTATTAAAAATTATCACATTGAACACGCAAAATGTTCTTTTTAGAATACTGTTCACCGGTAATTTGGCTAGTGTGCTGCTCTCTGGTGGAGTTACCGTTGAAAACATGTCGTATTCGAATCGAATGCGGGTACAGGGTCAGTTTCACCCATAACAATGGGCCCAAAATGGTTGAAAAATATAATAAGGATCAAAGTATCGAATATCGTGTTGCAGGTTCCATCTGGACGGACTTTAAACCACAAATAGAGGGCCTCAGCAAAGAGAAGTTTACCATAGTTGCATGGGATCCGCCTGGCTATGGAAAGTCAAGGCCACCCGACAGGACATTTCCAGACGATTTCTTTGAACGCGATGCCGCTTGGGCCCGTAATTTAATGAAAGTTTTAGGCCACGAAAAATTTTCGTTGATAGGATGGAGCGATGGCGGCATCACTTCGTTGATACTCGCCGCGATGTATCCCGAAAATATTCGAAAGATGGTAGCCGTTGCAGCCAACTCCTACATGGCTCTGGAAGAAATCGAAATTTACAAGAGTACGTTGTACAATGGATTCAGAATTAATTGGTAGCACGGCATATTAATTACGATTTATTGCGCTGAAAATTACTCATAGAAAAATATTCAATAATTTCTTTAATATTTCCGTATACTTAATGACAGGCTTTTCAAAGGCCAACTAAAATGTTTTACTCTATATGCGTCAAGACTTGTCCTTCCTTGATACTTTGACCCCTTCCGTTGGTCGGAAATACGACCGCCTAGATAACGGCATGTCTATAAAGAAAATTTATATTAGATTAGGAGTATACGGAGATATAGTTACACCATTATTTCAGTTGGTCGAATCTTTTCAACTGTCCCTCTGTTCATAGAATTCAGAGACATCAACACTTGGTCGGAGAAAATGCGAGCACCAATGATAGCGATATATGGGGAGGAGTATTTTCGGAAAATTTGGACAGGCTGGGTCGATAGCGTTTCGAGAATTTACGAGAAGCGAAACGGTAACTTGTGCAAAGAATTGCTGTCGAAAATCAAATGTCCGTCTTTGATCGTTCAAGGAAAGAGGGATGCAATGGTTTTCGGGGAGCATCCGATTTATTTAAAGGATCACATCGCCGAAGCAAAGTACGCATATACATATAATTAAAATTGTCCGGATGAATTTTAATCGCCCAAAACCGTAATGTTTCAGATTGAAGATATTTGAAAATGGAGCGCACAATCTACATTTACGATATCCAGAAGAATTTAATGCTCTTGTTACCGAATTTTTAACCGAATAATTCTCGACATTGTAATTGGGTTTTATACGCCCCGCACGGTTATTTCTATCTTTTTATATGAGAATGTATCGATGATTTTTTATGTTATATAACAATGATATTTTCAAGTACCGAATACGTATTTAAATATTTCTTTAGCAGTATCTATTTGTAATTAACACATTGCCAACCGACTGGAGAGATCCGTATCTTTGTGTCATAATGCATTATACGTTTACAAACATATACATATACAGGGTGCGGTCGAATAACATGTACATATTAGCGGGCACCAGGTGGTTCCTTATGAAAAAATAAGAACAAAATATGGAATAAAATTTGTTCGTTTAAAGCTTAGTTTTCAGGGATAATATTCGTTCTAGAATAAAACACACTGAATACATATGTACATATACATATGTATACATGAGATAGCATAGAGGATACACGTGGGATAACCGGCGTGGAAATCGAGTCGGAGAAAGGATCTCCAAAACCACGTAGGCGACACCATATCAAGAGACCCTAACCTATATTAATTCGAATTAATATTCGGACACTACGATTTTTTAATATTATTACTTATACTATATGTATATGTATATTTCTATCGGACCAGATGATATATGACAAGAATCGAAATAATTTGATCGATTCTACATGGAAAAAATTATTTATTGCTCGATCGAAAACACGCTACGTATTCCAGTCCCAGTCCCAGAGGTGATCAGGGGGAGATTATCGTGTAATAGTAATAAATATTTATGAATTGTTTTAAAAAGAACTACTTTTTAATTTAAATTGAACGTATTTGGGTGAATAAGGAATAATCTTTGAATTGCAGACAATTTATTTATAATTGAAATGTAATTTTGATTTACGAGAAACAGGAAATAAGATTCTTTTGTTACCCGAGAATCCCGCCATAAATGCTTTGGGTATCGGTTATTTCGTAAACCAGAATATCGGCAAAGAAATTAAGCGAATAGTAAGCTAGTCATGGGAAATACCCAATTGGGTTGTCGCAATAAGGAAAACCGACAATTGCGTCGTTATAAATGGATGCACTGATTATCTTGTAGTAGCATTTCGCGGCTAACGGTCTGCGAATAACATCGTGTAATGAGATAGCGATTAGTCGACAACGATCTAGCAAAAAACCGTGACAATGACGTTGTTTCAAAGTTTCACTTTCAACATATCGATTTGGCTATGCATTCTTTTATTTATAACTGTTCCGAACCAAGTTAAGTCACACACGTCGACGAGACATAATCACGGTATGCACGGAACACATAGTACATCACCTTGTACGACCACCGAAGCATCCAACGGTAACAACAATGAAACTGTCCCACAAGAGCAAAAAGTTAACGTTGATGGGGTGAATATCAATTACTTGCGTGTTGGAACTGGCGAACATGTTGTTTTACTACTGCCCGGAGCGATGGGTGAGTTAACTAATAAAAGTTACCACATTGGATACATGAAATTTCCAGAATACTGTTGGTCGATAAATCAACAAAGGGTGTCGCTCTTTAACAAAGATTATGATCGAGAATGGTTATGGTTATGTTGCAGGTTCAATCTGGACGAACTTTAAACCACAAATAGAGGGCCTGAGTAAAGAAAAGTTCACTATCGTTGCGTTGGATCTGCCTGGTTATGGAAAGTCCAGACCACCCAACAGGACGTTTCCAACAAATTTTTTACAGCGAGACGCTGTTTGGGCCCATAATTTAATGAAAGTGTTGGGTTATGAGAAATATTCGTTGGTTGGATGGAGTGCTGGGGGCGTTGTTTCTCTAATACTCGCTGGGATGTATCCCGAAAATGTTAGAAAGTTGGTAGCCGTTGCAGCAAACTGCTACGTATCCGCGCAAGATATGCAAAATTACGAATGTATGTCGCACATATGTACATAGTATCGATATTAATTCGTGTTTCATAACCTCTTTGATACAGTGGGCCCGATCCGATCGATTAGACAGCGTTCATGTAGAATTTCATTTAGACTACTCTTAATTATGAATTACTTTTTTTTAGTGATCAGAAATATCGACAATTGGCCAGAGGAGGTACGACAACCGTTAATAGCTTATTACGGTGAGGAGTATTTCCGAAAAACTTGGGCAGATGGGGTCGACGGCATTAAAAATCTGTACGACAATCGAAACGGTAGTTTGTGCAGAGAATCGTTACCGAATATCACATCTCCCACTTTGATCCTTCAAGGAAGCAACGATGCTGGGATTCGGCCAGAGCATCCAGTTTATTTGAGAGATCACATCGCTGGAGCTCAGTTCGTTTATTTCTATTCTATTCCGTTACATCGTAATTAAACTTGATAAATGTTAGAACCCGAATAATAAGAAACTTTAAATATTTCAGGATGAAGATAATCGAAAATGGAATACACCCTGTGCAATTGCAGTTTCCGGACCAATTCAACTCTATCGTTACCAAATTTTTAACCGAATAGTCGTTGATACCGTGATGCGGTTTTATTTGTATATTTTATGTGAAAATCTACTGTTACTTTGTACGATATACATATGTATATTAAAGCGAAACAATATGTTTAAATAAAAAGATACTTTCCCTGTACTAATGTCGATCAAACGGATTACGTGGATCGAGACAGCATTATTAAATGTAAAACACTTTGACAATAAGTTTGTTCAGATTTTTTTTTTTTAAACAACCGTTAGTGGTAAATCGAATTTATAACGTTTGAACAAAGCTCTAACCGAAAGTCTGATTATTAGGACACCTTAGTATTTTCGAATTAAAATATCCTCTTTCAAATAGAAAGATATTGTTTTATTTATTTATTTGAACCGATGAGTCCTAGCTTAACCGATCGATTACAGGGTCCGTTAGATCGTGTCGAAGACCTTTATCTTAAAATGTAAAAGTGTACTTGTCGAGTACTCGGGTAATGCTTCAAGTAACCACGGTAAAGCACACTGAACGCATGATACAGCGTAGAGGACACACGTGGGCTAACCGGCGAGGAACTCGAGCCAGAGAAAGGAGCTGCTGCAACCATGTGGGCTGGACGACACCAAAGTCTTTCCGTAGGTTTACTTCGTTTACAGGACTTTCCAGAAACGTTTCCGACTTGTGCATCGAGACTTTATAGTCAACCGACGTTTTCGTAAACGTTTATAGACATTTACTATTTTGATCTTTAAATATCCACGTTAAGAACTCCTATCCGAAACTTTTTCGTATCTCAAATATACGTATACGTATAAAATTCAAAAATGCCCGTGTATCCCAAGTATCGTGAACATAAATGTTTTGCATCACTTGGGAATGTTTACGATGCATCGACTTCTGACTCGTGTATTTATAATCGCGCAAGTCGAAGGTCATGGTGAAAGCGTCTCTCAGCTTGCAACGAACGATGTTCGTGCAATAGCTTCAAAAGTAAAGATATTTACGAATATATACCTACACACATCCGAATGCAAGAAACCAACAATTTTCTTTTAGATAGCCAACACCAGCACATTACACCTGCTTTTAAAGTAAATATGTATTAATTACGTTTATATCTAGGAAAAAGAAATGTCATAAATAAACCTTGAAATAAAATTTTAGGTAGTCTTTGGAAAAGTGTTTGGGTTTGGTTATCTCGTAAACGAAAGAATCGACTAAGAAATTGCTTCGAATTAAACGACAACTCGCATCGTGTGCACAAGATATGAGAATAAAAATAAGTTATGCGAATGACAAGTTAGTCACCGTAAGAATGGGAAATTCCCAACTGGATTATTGCAACGAGGAAAACCGATAATTGCTTTGTTATAAATGGAAGTACTGATAATCTTGTGGTAGCATTTCGAGACTAACGGCCTACGGGTAACATCGTGTGTCGTTCTAGTAAGAAACCGTGGCAATGACATCGTTTCGAGGTTTTACGTTCAACATATCGATTTGGCTATGCACTGTTTTATTTATAACTGTTCCGAACCAAGTTAAGTCACACTCGTCGACGAGACATAATCACGGTATGCACGGGACCCATGGTACATCACCTTGCACGACCACCGAAGCGACAAATAGTAACAATAATCAATCTGTTCCACAAGAACAGAAAGTTAACGTCAATGGAGTAAATATAAATTACTTGCGTGTTGGAAGCGGTGAACATGTTGTTCTGCTACTGCCCGGAGCGATGGGTGAGTAAACTAGTAAAACTTACCACGTTGGATACAGGAAGTTTGCTGAATACTGTTCGTCGGTAATTCAGCGGTGTCGTTCGCTACAAAGGTTATGGTTGAAAATGCAGGCGTGTCGCGTTTAACCCTTTTTCGAATTATGATGTTGCAGGTACAATCTGGATGAACTATAGACCGCAAATAGAGGGTCTCAGTAAAGAGAAGTTCACCATAATTGCATGGGATCCTCCAGGCTATGGAAAGTCAAGGCCACCCGACAGGACGTTTCCATTGAATTTCTTTCATCGCGACGCAGCTTGGGCTCGCGATTTAATGAAAACTATAGGCTACGAGAGATTTTCGTTGGTAGGATGGAGCGACGGCGGCATTACTGCCATGATAATGGCCGCCAAGTATCCCGAAAATATTCGAAAGTTGATAATCGTTGCAGCGAACTCGTATATATCACCGCGAGAAATGGAAGAGTACGAAAGTATGTTGGCACAGTCTGTTGAAATTAGTTTATATAATAGTTGGGTTATTACCGACCACAATTGGATTAACCAATGGGGCGGGGGAGGGCGGTACTTTGAACGAAATAGATACTACTTGGATAAAGTTGTAATGATCAACATCCATTCGGATGTCCGAGTATTTGCAAATCGAGGCAATACTCTGTTCTTTCTCTAATTGTTCTCGTGTTTGCAGGTGTTAGAAACATCGACACTTGGCCGAACGAGCCACGACAACCATTGGTAGATTACTACGGTGAGGAGTATTTCCGAAAAACCTGGGCATCTTGGGTCGACGGTTTCAAGAATATTTACGAAAAACGAGATGGTAACTTGTGCAAAGAATTGTTGCCGGACATCAGATGCCCTACTTTGATCGTACAAGGAAGTAACGATGAAGGTGTTCCTCCCGAGCATCCAGTGTATTTGAGAGATCACATTGCTGGAGCAAAGTTCGTATATTTATACATACACTGTATAATTAATAGCTCGATTAATTTTAGAACCCGATTTATATGATTGTACGATTTCAGGATGAGAATAATCGACAACGGAGTACACCCTGTGCAACTACAGTTTCCAGAGCTATTCAACTCTATCGTTACCAACTTTTTAACCGAATAATCCGTCGATACCAAGGTTCATTTTTATACGTTCTGTACTGTTAATTGTATTTTTGTAAACGAAAGTCTCCTGTCACGATTGGGCGTTATACATATGTATTAAAGCGATGCTCGCAATACAGACACGTACTGTAATACTGCAAGCATGTAAAACAAGCTGTCCGTGTACTTTAGATTTAGATTTTGCTGTCCTCTTGGCGGTATTCTTGGTTAAGGTTGCTAAGAAACGTATACTTATCGAGTACCCGGGTACGTAATCGGTTCGTTCTTCGGTAAAATACATACAAACTGAACGCATGACACAGCATAAAGGACACACGTGGGATAACCGGCACGGAAATCGAACCGGAGAAAGGAGCCGCGAAATTATGTGGGCGACACCAAAGTCTTTTCGTAAGTTCACTTCGTTCGATAGGATTTTGCAAAGTTTCCGACTTGTGGATCGAGAATTCATGGCCGAGAAACCGTAAATGTTTCGATTACATTTGCAGGCAGTTTGTTCGATTCTCGTTCGTTCGAGTCGCGTTTTTCGTTCATTGAAATTTCACCTCGTAATTAGAGAAACTAATCGAACCGATCAACGCGCGATTCTTTCGACAAAGAGAGACTGATTCGTCACGGACAAAATTGTTGCCGGGTTCGAATTAAGGTAAAGGAACGTCGCGTCGGCCAGAATATAAAACAGTTAAATCCACGAGGAAGTCAAGGACCGCCCATCCGAAATATCCGCAATGCGCTTCAGACGAAAATCGATCCTCCCCCACGTCTCGGTTACGCCCCGAAAGATCCAATTCCCAGTAACTGACGACACGTACGTACGTGTATATTGTTTTAAAAATTTTCAGCACATAACAAGGATCCACGCGGACTTGCAATACATTTTTTTAACGATTTTCCTACTAATTTACAATTTTAACGCATAGTTTATAAATACGCGTAGTTCAATTCGAAGATAGAGAATAGAGATTGATGAATTGTTCATCTCCAACGGTCCGTGGGGGCATTCAAGTCCCAAAAACGTCCTGAAGATGTTGAAAATGGTCGCAGGACGTTCCGAGGTACATAAGTACATACACAGAACCGCGAAACGGACGTTCTCTGGATGTTCTATCCGGGGAGTTTCTGGATTCGCGACGAGAAATCAGTTGCGTGCCGATAGAAAGTGGTTTTGTGCCACTTATTATGCGCGAGCCTTTAGTGGTCGCGATGAAAAACAGCGCGCGATCGAGCAGAAGCAGAAGCTGAAGCAGAAGCAGAAGCAGAAGCATTTCGCGTCGAACGTTCGCGGAACACTCCGCGGATTGCGATCCGGTTCAAATTGCATAACGAAAATCAGTGGCGCAACCAAAAATTAACCAAAGGGTTCGCAACCGTTGGGTTCGTTATTAAAATATATTGCCCGTCCAAAGAGTTTCTTAGGGATCGAAATAAGAGGGGCGTAGAAAAACGAACGATCCCAACTTGAAAATTTTTTCTTTTCCAATTTTTCTTTTTAATGATCTCATTACGGTTTGGGAGTTGATAAATCCTCTTCGATCCTTTCATATGCAAACAAGAGTAGAGTTTCCACGAACGGTGGTTTTTAGTTATGGTCGAGGTCGTTGATTTCCGTCTAGTTTTAGACCGTTCTAAAGCGTTCTGGACTATTATTCTTGTCTCGTCATGTATAATAACGCGATTGCACCCTTGCATCATCCCTGAGTGCGCCACTAACGAAAATGTCCGAGCGAGCCTGAACAGCCACGCGATCACGAGACCTCGAGTAACCCGCGGGAAACGTTTCGCTCGTTAGATAACGATGGATCATTACACAAATTAAAAACGCTCGTTTCGCGAAGAAATTGCCCTTATCTCCTTGCTTGCTTAATTTTTTAAATTCGAACACGATCGTTCAATAGACAATGCGTGTTATTATTTTCGCCTCTGGAGTTATTATATCGATCAGTCTATTGCGATCCTCCTTGGCAACGATACATATGTGTAGTTTTAATCAACTCATTCACGATTCAAGCTTATCGTTACCAATACAATCACCAGTACGATTTTTACAGAAAGTTAGGAACAAAAACAGACATTCAACGGTTTAAATCTTTACTGCAAAAGGCGGAAGCGTTCGCGTTTATGACTCTGGTGTAAGAGAGACGATACGTAATCGCAAGCTTGGTTAAAGTATTCGATTTGAAAATCATCGTAGATAATAGAACAGATAAATTTTCGTTTATCAACATTGTAGTAGTTGTAATGGTGAAAAGCATCGCACCCTGATATTTAAAGCAACGCGTGCAATGGCTTACGAAACGAACCGATACACGCTTCGAAATGGAGTTTGAAATCGACGTCGATATATATAAATATCGTAGATTTCGGCAAGGATCGGCTGGCTGGTTTATTGGTACAAACGACCAAGGGAAACGAATAAAAGAGATGACACGTATAATGCAACACGGGCGTGGCCAAATATGGACAGACTGCTTCGCGATTCGATCAAGCAAGACTGTCCTTATTCTTTCCGAGCAATCCTCTATCGCCTGTGTTCGGTGGGTGCGTCGCTGGATATTTTTTCAAATACTTTTCCAAACGTTGCAACAGTTTCCTGAACCATCGAAACATTTTCGGCACGAAAAAATAAACAGAAATACAAAGGTTAAGTGGGCTAGTAAATCTGAGCGAAGCCAATCGCGTGTTCCACATTCCAGCGTTACCTTTAAACATAATTATGCACTTGATCGTATTCGACGCTGTTTGCGATGCTACGGCGAGATAAGAATTGGCAATTTTTAAACACCACGCGATTCGCACGGCCTTTAAAGCCGGTCATTTTCTCCAAAACAGGTTTCCAGTAAAGTTTTTATCGTCGAGCGTGTACCGGAGAACTGCAGAGAACGGCCCCCCGGTGGAATTCAGATTTAGCGATCAGAATTTTTTAACAAGGTTTCTATTCCGAAGGAATGTCTGGCCCTTTTCCAAATAATAATAATAATAAAGGATAAACTCGAAACAGAAAAGACAGAGCAAGCTTACGCACGATTGCGACGACTACTCTAGACGGTGGCCATTTTTTCACTGACTCCTCATCTCCATTGTCAGGCCCCCCATTGCATTCCTCGAATCCATTCATGCTCTTGCAACCGATATCATACTATAAACAATAAACATCCGCTCGATACCAGTCGTACCAATATTTATCCCATACGCTACTGGTTAGAATTTCCAAGATCGAGAAGATCCCGTACGACCACGTATGTACTTACGTATATGTATAACATTTTAAAAGGACAGAATCCTTTTCCCAACACCGATGCTTCGCTATACCGGATCTTCGCGAACGATGTTACAAATTCTCGATCAAACACTCGAAGAAAGAATTCGTCAAAGTGGCTACTCGAATCGCGTAATAACGCCGACGGTTTTTGTTTGGTATAAACATCCACTCGAGTTCCGAATATGTAAATGCTTTTCCCGTTATGGATACGCGGCGTCGCGTCGCGTCGCGTCGTGCAGCGATGACATCACTTCTCGAGGAGTTACTTAATAACCAGACTGTCGTAAAATGGGCTACGTCTCTTTAACGTTTCCTATTTAATAAAACATTTCCCGTCTCGTATTAACTTTATTCTTTTTTTTTTTATAGGTACGAAGAGGACCTAAATTTTTTTAAACGGTTACGGACTGTGCCAAACACTTACGGTACCCGGGATAAAATGTTTTTTCAGGGAGAAAATAAGTAGAAGCAGTTGTTGCGATAGGTCTAGAGAGAAAAGGGAAAAGGGAAGGTTCGCCTGAGTCACAATCAGATTTCAAGCCTAACGTTATCGACTTGGCTCTCGTCGGTGTTCGCCTCCTTGCAGGCTGTCCTTCGAAGTAGAAAACGACACCATTTACGGCAGCTTGTGGCTCTGTTGTTACTCGTTTTCAGGTCCGTATCGCTCGAGATCGTTCGAGAAAGTGGTCGTGCGTAAAAATCTTGGCCTCGATACCGCTCGAACACCCCCTAAAGAACGCCACGATTGTTCCAATATACACCATACAACAGCAGCTTGCGTAGATCGTATTTTGAAAAATCTGAAAACTACCAATGGTAACGATCATTATCTACAGGCTAGCAAAACTTGAGAACCATTGCTTTAATGCATACTGATCTTTGTTCTATTTTTAAACGACCACTACCCGTTATTTACATCTATTTGTTACGTATTATACGTATATTCATGCTGAAGATAAGTCCGGCTTCGCGAGATAATTCCCAAGTAGCGACCGATGACAGGTTGTCAGCTAACTCGTACTTGGAAATCAATGTGTTAACCGACAGATAACTGTTGCAGATATAACGTGTAATTATTGTAAAGTGATGATGAGTCAGACTATCGAATGTCCAGAAATACTGAAACGACTCAATTCAGTTGTTCTTAATGTACAGTAATTATTTTGCTCGAGGTGTTGGGTGAATCTTTTAAATAACTATTTTATTCGGATTTGTATTTTAAATGTTTCGTAAGATAACGTATCTCCATCGAGAAACCGCAGTAGGGCCTCGTTTAGCGATGCATGTATGCAAACCACACCGAGCGTCACTTTCGAGGCTATTTAGCGGTTCTGGTAAATTGATACGCGTCGATACGGATATACGCTCACGGAAATATTTAGACACGTATCTGTCGTGCACGACATCCTCGGGATCAATAAAAGTCGAGGCGGGGCAAGGGCTAGCCTGCTCGTCGTTCCGAGTCGGTTCCCTCGGATCGTCGTCGTGGTCGAAGGTAGCACCGAAACACTCGCAGGATGCGCAATTTTCTTCCGTCTCTTCCGTTTGCTAGCACGATCGATGGTCGTGTCGATCGATCGATCGATCGGGATAATGACTCAACCGGAAGAGGTTCTGACCGACGAATTCACACCCCTCGAGACCTACGCGTCAACGATCGATTTTGCCCTACGCGACACCGTCACATAGGATCGCCAATAACATCGATTTAATCCTTAATTGGCCCATTTGTCATTCGCTTGTTCCACTCGCATGATACATACATATGTATTTATATTCGGTGGTGATTTGCAGAAAACTCTAGGGCAAATGCTATGTCGACGTTGCGCGATGTGCTTTGTACAGCATAAAAAATGAAAACACCTTTCCGTAGGTCGATATCCTCCGTGACTCAGCCACCCCTGAACGACTTGCGTGGAAACCGTAGAGTATGTTGCCGTTGGTAGCCAACACCCTAAACAGAGACAGGTCACGTTAACCAGGAGTGCCATAGAATTAAAAAAAAATTAAAGAAGTTTAATTAAATTATTTCGAGCCCTCTTCTTCTCTACATTCAATACTCTGCAAGAGTTAGAAGGTAGAAACTAATAGAAAATCAGGAATCCCTCTCTTAGAAAAAAAAGTTCCTCGAAGCGATCAAAATTCATATAATAGATTTGTTTGATCAATGGGAGGGACCGAAGCCCCTGATTGCTCCCCTCATATTCGCCACTGTCTATACCTGTGAAAAAGAAATGGCGCGTAATAATAAAATTACCGTGCCACAAAATCGGAATACCGAAGCAAAATTCGATCTGCGTTAGTGAGTCACTCTTATCGTGTACGAGGTGCGACGTACATACGTGCTTAATTACCGTTCGTATCTCACTGCTGATTATAACCAATTAACTTCGGATGGACTCTACCCGCGAAAAAAAGAGCAACGCGACGTACGTTTTTTGCACGAACGCGGTAATAAAGTGCCATTAGATAACCGTGCAGATCGATCGTCAATTATCGCGATGGCACGATCCATTCTAGGTAGTAATGACGCTGTACCTTTTTTCGTCGACGCAGGAACGTGCGCGACGTCTCGGTTCGCGACGTCTAAATTGGACGTGATGTCACCGAGCCTCTATACTCGCGGACTCGTTTAATGGCTACGACAGCGAAGGACAATGAGAATAGAGCCATAATCTAGTCGGCCACATCCTCCCGAGTCTCTGCACGAACGAGCTGTCTCTGCGAGGCAGCTCAAGTTTTAAATCGGAGAAAAGGAAGCCTTCTTTGCATGTCTGTTTCTTCACATTTTATCTTGAGTCGTAAAGGTTATGTAGTGGTCGCTAAACCTGTCAGGTTAGCCTGTTACTTGCTACATAAGAGGTTTGAAAATTTTTCGATACCATCTTTGTACATAAGGAGCAGACAAGTTTGCAAGGAACATCGTCTTCCGGTAGGTGGCGAGCGCAATGAACGCGTTACGCGAAAGAACTGCATTGCTGCCACATTATGCGAGCGACCGGAGGTAGACACTCTGTTCCTCTCAGTTGGAATTTACGTCGATAACAATTATGATCCCGGGTTGTTGGCAGCGCCGTTACGTGCTGCACGTACTGCGACGCGTGTCTATCAATCCGAGACAGTGTTGTTCGTGTCCAGCCTAGTGTTGGTACGTGAATGGACGTGAATGCTGTGCATGCACGCGATCAGAGAACTCGCGCGCACGCGGCCGTCTGATTTTCTTTCTTTCGGAACGAAGAGCGAGTGATCCATACATGGTAACGGTGAGAAGTCTGGGCTTACACGTTGCGCCGCGTAACCCACCCTACCTGCTCTCCTGTCTCCTCTCGTTCTTCTACCATGCCTGATCAGACGTATTCTGCGTATTCGTGTGCAATCACATGCACGGCCACTGACTGCATACGTTTAAACCAGCAATGGAACACTCGAAACCTCGACATTTTTAGGTTACTTTTATCATTCGAAAAAGCAGGGCCTTCCAGGGATCGAAATCGGTACAGACCAATCGTCTTTCGGATGCACCTGTGTCCCTTCAGAAACCCTATCTATCGAAAGATAATATTGCATAATGGTTTACATATGTATATTGTAAAAGAAACTATGTATGTGGTAAAGTCAAAGTAATGACTAATTCAGCGAGTAATGGTTATAACGTGACAATTGTATTGACTCGTTACAACCAAGTTGGACTCTATTAAGGGGCGAGTTTACTTGTGTCTAGGGTGGAAATATGGACAACATTTTCAACTGTTTTTCCTAATAATAAAGGAGTTATTTATGAGGAGATGAGGAGAACTCTTTTTAGTAATTGCAAATGAACGTTAAACATTATTATATTAGAAACCATAAAACTGCAGCCTCCGAGTTAAGATGTTTGCGATTAAATCCGCAATATTTGGATGGGCGTGTACGACAGTGAGTCACGTATCGACTTTTCTTCCGACCAGGTTGGGGTAGGCGGGGTGAGTCCAAGGCGCACCGTAGGTAAGGGTGGAAAAGACCGCAATGAAATAACCATTTGCCAAACCAAGTAGCGGATATTTGGTTCGCGATGTTTCAAACAAACCCTTACGAAACAATTAATCATAATTCGATGCTCGTTACGAAACGTTCAAGTAGAATATTCTGCCAGTGGCGTACTGTCTGCCCAACAGTCTCACCGTGAACGATATAACGGGAAAAATAACAAAAGGTCAGAACAGTAACTCTGTCCGATTCTCTACAACTTATTGGTCACGTTCCTTCTTTTGTCTGTGGTCAAATTACTCGCGAAACTACGCAATGAAGCATTACACGACATATAAATGCATATTATACAACGGTGCTTCAATAAATCTGCCCTCGGTCGTAAATTAGCGTTACCTCTTCAGCTAGGAGTAAAGAAAATTTCCATACGCGTTGAAGAAACATTTGTTAACCAGACGGATAATGTTTAAGCAATTACAAGCCAGATTAGACCAAGTTTGATTTTTTTTCTGTACGATGCTTTCGTGACAAAAACGTTTATTCGTGCCTAACCACGCCCAGTAATCGATAACGTTTTCAACGCGTTGAGCGCCGTCAAAGTAACAACAGCAAAACATTTGGACAGATTTTAATTGCTTGATAGCACTGCTGTTTATCAGTGAGTAATTGTGACGCAAGTGTCCACAACAGTATCAGTTTAATAATGTCGATTGTTCTATTGAATCATTATAGATAGACCGTTGTATAAATAGCATTTGATAGAATATTTAGGGTATAATAGATGATTATACATTTTCAGAGTTTCGAGCAATTTTTCTCTGTCAACGATACTAAATAAAGCAATAGTAAATAATCGAGTGTGAAAAGAAACTACTACATAGAATATAAAAAAAAAGAATGAAATACATTATTTTGGTTTCGATATATTCTCTTCGACGTAGATTATTTATTAATTTGCATTGTATAGATCGTTTCGGTGAAGTTTCTGGGGGCCCAACAAAATGAGTTGAATCGTTTAAATATGTATGAATTATGCTCGAGCGTTCGCAAATTGGCAAACAATTGAACCACTCCCGAATTTATAATGCTAGAAACATCAATGTTTCCCTTCGACGAGACGAGTGTGGAGGGTATTGAAAAAAGAGAGGTCGGATTCGTCGGCCAAACAGAAAGAGTAGGTCTGCAATTTTGGCTTTATCGAAATTTTCGACGATGTCACATTCATCCGCAGAATCGTTAGAGCAGTTGGCAACGCTGTCGAGGCTGGCTGGTGAAAAGGCGGCGGAACCCGAGCGGCAACCAATGGGAAGCGTCGAACGAGCCGCCCCCCGACGCCCCACCGCGGTCTCGTAGAAGCTTGAAAATCTGTAACGGACGCGGCTACCAGGGCATATTCGTTTCTGGGCTCTCGTGACGAGTTAGCGTGCGTCTCATCGTTGGTTTGATCAAAGTAAGATTCGAAGAGGTCCAAGAAACTACCAAGCAATATGAGGGAAATCGTCCACATTCAAGCCGGCCAGTGCGGAAACCAAATTGGCGCGAAGGTACGTGTCGAAATAAACGTTCGAAACGATTAAATACGCGGTCCCGTGTAGAAGCGAACGTTTCTTTGTTCCATGTCGCGTGGCGTCATTAAAGATTCGGGATAACCCTCGGAAAACCGTGTGAATCACTAATATTGGTCGAATATCCGCCAGATCGTAACTGCTTCGATCGTTTCGAGAAATAGAATGTCGAATCGACGGGAGATAGGAAACGTGAAAAAATTTTGTTAAACCGTGAGTACGCCATCTTTCTGTGTTCCTCGAGTATATCGCGTTGTATGGAAGAAGTACGGGGCTAAGAAGGCATTTTTGATGTTACGAACGCGTAGTGTTGTACTTTTACGATAGAAAGATATCGAACGCAATGTGTAGAGGGACGCGGTGCTGTTGGTATGCGAATAAATGGCAACCTCGCCCGGTCGAAGACCTGTCATGGCGACGGAACTTCGCCGGCCGGCGAGTATGCTTAACGGTTTTTTTTTTCCCGTCGACTCACGTTCTGGAACGTGGCGTTGTCGTCAAGCGTTGGCCATATTTTTCTGTATCGCGTCATGGGCAGAAATTTGTTGTGCAGTCTCGCGGGTAAAGACGTTCGAAAACGTATCGTTTGTATGAAAATTAAAAAAATGCTTCGATCGAACGATTCGCGTGTTGGGTGTGGCTAGTTCTCGGCGCCGAGACACACCGGTGTTGATGCGGCAACGGAATCGAACGGTTGCGCGCGCAATCGATGCTCTCTCTCTCTCTCTGTAGCCTATTCGCTCTCGTCTCCCCATTTCTCGCATACAAATTCTCCACTTACGTTTTTCTATTTTTCTACGTGTCTATCTCTGCAGACTCCTTTCTGTTCCGTTCCATCATATCCTTCATCGTTTGACGTGTAATTTTATCATGCCAATTAACTTTGTCTCTTACGTAAAGGTTTAACGTCTGCTTAAATTGTAACTCTTGAATGAATTTTCATACGTTCGAGCGCCGTATATGGTAATAACCGCGATAGAATATCGTTAAAATGAATTCTTTATATTCGTCCGATTCGAGTTAGTAACGGAATCCGCCTGACCATTGTATAAAAAGTATTTTTGGTTAGTCGAGTACTGTCGAGCTGGAACAATAATCTTTACGAATGTACCTATTATGTTCAATTGTTTTGTTGCATTGTGAGAGTAATCTCGAGGTTCAGGTTTCATAAGCATTTTTTATAAGTTGTAGAAACTTGTCGTGTCGAGTTATTTCTCGTAGCTTGTATTTTCCTCTTTGACAAATATAAATTTAAATAATATAATTTGGAAATAAATAAACTGTGTATAACGGACACAATTATCGTAGCAATTGTCTTGAGAAGACTGCCTTACGAACGCAGTAACGCCGGTCAAGTCACGCTCTCATAGTTTTGAAGGTTGCCTCATTGAGTCAACGTCCGCTGCCAAAGTTATCTTTCTTGATCTATTGCCACGGTATCGATTTTCTGGCAGGAATATTTTCTCATGGACATGCCGCGCGGGTTTGCAATTTCGATTCCCTGATCTGACAAACGTTGCACGGTTGTGCAACGATCACAACTATCCATTCAGGGATCTTGGAGTCCAAGGACATCGTGTCTTGCGTAGCTGGGTGAAACGCTTCCAAATAAAGAAAGAAGATATCGATCCTTTCGCCATTTTCTTTCGTTTTACCTCGGTCCGTTTCCAGCCATTTCGCATTTTAGGTGCGTATCGATCGGCTCTCGATGCCTTCGAATTAAATTATATTGGAAACAATGAACGTCGAGACGAAATATTATCGCACTGTTTTTTTTAAATTTCGATTTTTTTCAAACGGTTGCCATCTGTCTGTAACGGCCGTCTGCTCGACTGTTCGGAGGATCGTAAATAAAAGGCATAGAGCAGCTGCTCGGGACGATCCACTGTTAGTTCTTCCTTCGGCCAATGGCGGCACCAGTTTGTTAATTTTCTAATCGATCGATCCATTTTTCTTATCGGAAATTTACAATTGTCGTTTTTATACCGATATATTATTAAATTGTCACGACGCGTAATATTATTGCATTTGTCGTTTTAACTTAACGAGGCTTGATTATTTCTCCGTGCAGTTGGCCGAGGGCGAGACGTAAACAAGAAATATCAGGGTGCATAGATCGGGGAAACTGTGTTATGCTAATTGTCCGAGTTCGGTATTACAGTCATCGGTTCTATATATAGCGATGACATTGGTGACTCATATCTCGCTACAGCAATCCACACGTAGATGTAGCGTGTACAGGTCGGTGCGGTGGGTGGGAGGTGGCAGGGCTGGGCTATCTTAGCTTCCCACTAACGATATTCATATATGGTCATACCGCTCAATATAAACCATCGTGTCCATGTAGGACGTTGTAGGTCTCGTAGGCGTGCACTATCGTTTCACGACTTTGGCAACGATCGTCGGAAACTCGAATCAAGTTCAATCAGAAGGTACAAATAGACTCGGAACGTTCTTTAATCGATTCGATAGTCCCTGAGAGATTAAATCCAACCAAACACCAAGAGGGAATTAACATTTTTAGCAAACTACGATGACGCACCGCGCGAGCCTCTTCCGACCTATGATAACGTGATACGCGTTGCGTGGGAACACGATGTAACGAAGCATCACGTTAGACCAACCTTAAATCCAATCGCTATATGCTTCGGTGATAGCGTCTTACTTGATGTTTTTATTTATTCGAACCGTGTACTACACTCCCTGTACACGTCCTACGTACATGCAATAGTTTAAACCGTGGTTGCCAATGCTAATTTTTTAATTCCAAGAAAATGCAACTACAGATTGTTCCTTTTATGCAATCTTTATTTATAGCAACGCCGCTGATTTACCAAGTCATTTTGTTTTTACACAGTACGTTTTTGTAATACGTATTCTTGTAATTTATTTTTTTGACCTTGCTTTTAGAGCTTAGAGCTACCATTCATTCTTTATACCACCGTTTAAAGAATAAATTTTCAAAGTATAATTTTTACTTGAATTTTACTTGAATAGAACTGCTCCATAGAGGCGAATTGCTCGTTGGTACATTTTTGCGAATTTCCGTCTCTCGCGGAAGGTCGCATGGTTGGCCGCCTAGTTATATTTCTTACGCGGTGTCTATGTACACGTTCAACCGACATTCTCTGGCGTACATCGATTTCCAGAAATATACCAGAAGGTCTTTGAACTATAGTCAAGAGAGGTGCGCGCTCGCGCGCACACACACATACACTCTCCTAGATAGAGAAGAGAATGCTTGTTGATCGTGGCGCGCGTTGCTTCGCTGCGTTTTCGCGTTGCGCGCGTTCGTCCGCGTCAGAACCGAAGGAAATCGACGCTCAGGGAATCAGGAGTCGCATAATTAATTTCGTTCGGCGGTCGAGCGACTAATTTCTGTGTAAAAAAAACAATTTCGAGGAGCAAAGAAAATAGGAAACGAGAAACATTTTGCCATGGTCTTAATACGTGCGCGTATTATGACTAATTACACGCGAGCTATTCACCGACGAGGTCGTCGAACTGTCGGTCGATACTACGGAAGACTGGAAACGGATGCGAGGGTAATCGTAGAGAGAAAGCGTCTGGCTGGCTCGTCCTTCTTCCTTTTCTATTCGAGCACACTGGTTCCAATGAGATATATACCTCGTGTATTTGCAACACCGTTACAAAACCTAATTTCTCCCAAGATTTTCCCGGCTTAACGATAAAATATCAATGAACGCGGGTTGGCCGATTTTTCAAAGTCCTCCGACGCGACGGCACATTTTCTGCCCCACTTTTGTAAAATAGTAGATTTTTCTATCCAATTACTATATAAAAGAATCCTATATTACGAGTAAATTTCTATACAAGATAACTTGATAATTAATCGGTATGCGTTAACAACGGTTCTGTTCTAATAATCGGGGTCGTGGCGGATTGGCAGCGCGGCCGGGGGCGGCCCCTTACTCCTTGACTCGAGTCCAAACCTGGTTGAAACAAATTTTGTTTCACTTTGTAACAATACGTTCACAGATTATTAGATTCACGAACGGCGGGCGGTACAATTTGCAGATCTGAGATTCGAATGAGTGCTAGACTTGAATTTCTAGATCGTTGTTGCGTTTGTAAATTTTTATCGAAAGAAATCATTGCCTCGATCGTAACGTACGAATATTTCTTACAGTTTTGGGAAATAATCAGCGACGAGCATGGCATTGACCCAACTGGTACCTATCATGGCGACTCGGACCTTCAATTGGAACGAATCAACGTCTACTACAACGAGGCGTCCGGTGGTAAATACGTACCACGTGCCATCCTCGTCGACTTGGAGCCGGGAACTATGGACTCTGTTCGCTCTGGTCCGTTCGGACAAATCTTCAGACCTGACAATTTCGTGTTCGGGCAATCCGGAGCTGGCAACAACTGGGCCAAGGGTCACTACACCGAGGGAGCCGAACTAGTCGACTCTGTACTCGACGTTGTTAGGAAGGAAGCAGAGAGCTGCGACTGCCTCCAGGGATTCCAGCTGACTCACTCTCTCGGTGGTGGTACCGGATCCGGTATGGGCACCCTGCTCATCTCCAAGATCCGCGAAGAGTACCCCGACAGAATCATGAACACGTACTCGGTCGTCCCGTCTCCTAAAGTATCAGACACCGTCGTAGAACCGTACAACGCGACACTCTCCGTACATCAATTGGTAGAAAATACAGATGAAACCTACTGCATCGACAACGAGGCCCTCTACGATATCTGCTTCCGCACCCTGAAACTCTCCACACCTACCTACGGCGACTTGAACCACCTCGTCTCCCTTACGATGTCCGGTGTCACGACCTGCTTGAGGTTCCCTGGACAGCTGAATGCTGACCTTAGAAAACTTGCCGTAAACATGGTACCGTTCCCGCGTCTCCACTTCTTCATGCCAGGTTTCGCTCCGCTCACATCCCGCGGCAGCCAGCAATACAGAGCTCTTTCGGTTCCTGAGCTCACGCAACAGATGTTCGACGCGAAGAACATGATGGCTGCCTGCGATCCCAGGCACGGAAGGTACCTGACGGTAGCCGCCATCTTCCGTGGAAGGATGTCGATGAAGGAAGTAGACGAACAGATGCTAAACATTCAGAACAAGAACAGCTCGTACTTTGTCGAATGGATTCCGAACAACGTAAAGACAGCCGTCTGCGACATCCCGCCTCGTGGTTTGAAAATGTCTGCCACGTTCATTGGAAACTCGACCGCCATCCAGGAACTGTTCAAGAGAATTTCCGAACAGTTCACAGCTATGTTCAGGAGGAAAGCTTTCCTTCATTGGTACACCGGCGAGGGTATGGACGAGATGGAATTCACCGAGGCGGAATCGAACATGAACGATTTGGTTTCGGAATACCAGCAATACCAGGAAGCTACCGCGGACGAAGAAGCAGAATTCGACGAGGAGCAGGAAGCCGAAGTCGATGAGAACTAAAGAGGACCACCGGATCTCTCTACCCGCAACAACCAACTCTCTCAACCCGTTATCTCCGCTCATGCTGCTTCTCGATTCTGCGTTTACCTTTTTAATTATTTTTTTTTTTTTGTTTCATTTTTTACAGACTGTTTCTTGCCATCAGGCTCAATCAGGCGCGCTTTTCCTTTATTAGTCCAACACTTGCTAAATAATTTGGAAGAAATACTCTGTTTGTCGGTCCGTCTTTTATATATATATATATTATTTCTATTTTCTACATCGAGTTTCTCTATCGATTTGTTGTTCATGAGGCGCGTCTTTATATTCAGTGTATAACCGCTGTCGCGGTCACCATCGTCTTTAAATAAATTATTACGATATAAGTGTATGTTTTATAAGAACCCTTTATTATATTAAGCCGTATAAGTGCCGCATCGGACAATTAATTTTTGTATTTATAAAGCTACAATTGTAGGCGTACTTGTATTTATATTTGTCCTCTTTTTACCTACCGACTTTTATACCATGACAAATAGATCTGAATAAAGTAGATCATTCGATCAAGCAGTATCAATCGAGCACTCGTAATTGAACATCCAGTTAACGATTCTTAAATCCGGTTGAAAATTTTAATGTAATGGGTAATGTATACTTTGTATCGAAATTCTTCGTACGTAGCACATACCGTAAAGTCGAAGCAACAAACAATCACTGATCGTTATTGTTATCGAGTTAATATTTGCTAAAAAGAATATTGACGCCCCGACCTCCGGGATGCCATGCAGGTATGGGGTCATCAGCCTGAGAAAGCTTCCCCTATCCGCCACGTAGGGGTTCACCTACCCTGCCAAACCACAGACAAGGTATACGAGTACACCTTACACCTTATAAACTTTCGTAGCCCAAATTTACTGTCATACCGACCTAAACATTGAGTGGCGTCCTCTTCTCATGGATATGAGTTGACAAGCACGAATTATTCGCGATTCTTTGATTAAAGTTGTAAATAATTTGCATGTAATCATCCTAGTGAATAATGTTAATAAATTCAAGAATCTACATCGTTACGCGCAACAGCGCGTATTTTAACAATCGAGTAATCTTCAAGTGATCTAAATCGATTGGTTACTCGAATGAAATTAATCGATTGATGCTCAATTCTGGGCGGTACAGCTTTCATTCCGTTAAAAAATACTAAAATTTCTGTAATTTCATTTTCTGTCTCACTTCCTCTTGTCACAGACGAGATATATGAATAGACCTTTCACCTTATGGACTTTCGCGGCCGAATCTGACTGCCATACCGACCTGAAAATTCGGAGGTGATTTTAGCGGCCTCTTCTCATGGATAACGGTCAGTTGAGAAACTCACTGAATTAGTGTGATAGGCAGCAGCTAGTGCGTGTAAATGCATATCAGTTCAAAGTACGAATTATTCGCGATTCCTTGACTAGTTAAAGTTGCAAATAATTTGCTAAAATCAGTCTATCCGCGGTTTCTAGCTGAGGCATCTCTCGGGTTCGTAATACAAGCTTCGTGAGACATCGGAGCTCCCCCCGCCGCGTCATCTAATTCCCGAGCGTTGCCGAGCACAGCGGACGGCCATCATTCGTACTTTGAAAATAAACATAGCAGGACGTGTCGAGACGTATCGGCGTTTCGCAACCGAGGTGCGTATTTCTAACCTGTTTATCCTTCCACGATCTCTTGCAATACGGTTTCGATTTAATCATTACTAAATTGTAATAATCGTTCGTGTATTTTAATGCATCGTTCTTTCGTTTCTGTTGCAGTCTCTTAATGGAACTCGAAATTAAGAAATAATAAGTCTTGTTGGAACCTGCCAAGACGTGTCGGTGTTTCGCGACCAACGAGGTACATACGTGTTTCTAACCTTTTAATATTTCTTCATTATTATCAATTATTGTTTAATTATGATTTAATTTGTACTTCATTTCTGTTGCAGTCTCTGATTGAAATTCGACGCCATGGGAAGTTTCATTGGCGCGTAAACGACACCATAACAGATGGCAGACGAGTCGACTTTGAAGGGAATATTGGTAACTTCTAAACAATTGTAACCAAAATTAACATCTATATCAATATTTATATATTTGTATCTCTTTATTGTGTCATTCGTTGCAAGCATGATGATAATTTTATAATCGGCCATTGTTAAGATAAATTATGAAAATCTTTGACAAACCTTTTATCCACTTCGATATAATATCGAAGTATACAGAAATGGCGTTGGTAGATATCGACGATAAATTGAAATAATTTATATTTAACTGTATTCTGATCGCGATTAAATATTTCCGAGTGTTATTTATTTAATTGATCGTTCATATTTCTTTATGAATTGTTGTAATTGCAATTTGCATATATATTTCGATGCAAGTTTAAGAAAATGTAGTAACTTCGGCGTTGAAATATGCTATTCGAGCACAAATAACCAACGAACTTTAATTCTTGCAAATTTCGGAATATTTATAAAAATTACGGGATATTCTAACGTTCGAGAAAATAAACATAATCATGCTTACAACTCTAACTATGAAACTTAGTGATATAGTATTTATAAATTGAATAATTACTTGTACTTAATTATTTTCGTAGATAATATTTTATCGTTGAAATTCTCATTGATTCAGAATATTTCGCCTTCGTGGCATTGAATTTTTACGTGGCAAACTATGCATACAGTAGTATTAAGTAAAGCAGTATTTCTGTTGACGAACTTTTGTAAGAAGAAAAAAGAAAATCGATAGGCAAAGCACAGATGTGCTTGTTTTGTTTCTTGTCTCCTGTCCCTTTCTTTTCAGGTCTTTTCTTTCCAGGAAATTTGTTGGCCGAGCGCAATGCGGCCGGTAGATTCAGTGTTTGTACGTAGCAACAAGTTTGTTTCTCGGGGCAAAGTGACCCCGAGCACGTTATCGTTCGCGATGTTAGGCAAACGCGAGAAATAGAAGCAGTGTTTCTTACGCGGTATTAAATTATTTCCAGAGCCTCGTGGCTCTCCTTGTTTCGCGATAATAGAGTCATTTGTTCGCCGATTTCAATCCTCGGTCGCGGTAATCAAATTTAATACTTTCCAATCAAAAAATTAATTATTTTTTCAATTTGACATTTAAACTCCTCGTTACCGGAATTAGAATCAGTGCATCACGGAAGAGGATTATTTGGCGATGCTCCACGAGCAAACAATGTAAGTATAAATTTATACTTTGAAATTTTTAATTAAAAATCTCTACAGTTTTGACAATAGATTCTAATTGTTTTCTTACAGTTTTCTTACAGTTTCTGAACATGATCCTGGGGACCAGCAGCAGTACCCGGGGTATCGGGCGGTGGACCACGAGCGAACAACGTAAGTATAAATTTATACTTTGAAATTTGTTAATTAAAAATCTCTATAATTTTAACAATAGATTATAATTCCTTTCTTATTCTTTATAGCAGGAGCATGCAGGGGGCTTTGATGACTTCCACCGGGCAGCAGCAGCAGCAGCAGCAGCATCATTATGCAGTCATCCCAGAGGCACAAGTTCATCACTCGTAAGTCGCATGCTATTTGTGTTCCTCTGGTCCCCAACCATGTTGTAGGATGAAAGATCCGAATCAACACGGGTGACCAGTTGTATACTTAGTATTTTTGACGAGTTAAGTGACCGCGGGTATGAAAAATACCCATGAGTTATATTTTTTTAGTGCAGGCTAGGGTCTTCTTGCACTCGCGTTTTTTAATGTTATCAATAAATATTATACAACATGATTATTACACAATTTTGATCAATTATATGAAATATGTTTATTAACTTTATATGAATTATATAATTGAGTAGAATATAAATTAATATAATGTGAAAACATTATATTAATTGTACGATTCAGTAAAATATCTTACATTATTAATATAATTATTAAATATTCGTCTTATCGATTAATACATCATACGATGTATTTTATGTGCAAGAAGGCGTTTCGCGACTGGTCGATTTTCAACTCAAAGGAACATGCATATTGATTATATTTTTACAAAAATTTACTTTGACGACAAAATCGACCAAGGTTAATTTAATATTTTGCATAATAATTTATCAAATTTATTTCAATTTGCAAAGTAAATTATTTTATCATGAGATCTTTATTAAAGTCTTACATTTTGCACAATTAAATTTCAGTCACAAATTTTTTCTTGAATAATAGTATCTTTCAATATTAACGTACTCTGTTGTTGATCTATTACATATAACAAGTCGAGTCATTTCAATTGAGAATTGATACCGTTTAGTTAATTATCAATAACCAGTTGTTCTAGTCAGGATTTTCAGGATACTTTTCCGTGTTCGTTGCCTAAGTTCGTGCACATGCCCAAGTGTTATTTGCACGAGCGAAGGCAAACGGGGCACGATGACTTAGTTTGTAACATTTACAATAGTAATTTATCCGTGCGACTGACAATGCTAGTGTATCGTGCACGATGTACCGTCCACATATGTGTGTGTGTGTGTGGTTAGGATGTGGAAGTGCATCGTTTCAAAAGTTTATTACGATTCAGATATAGAATTTGTTGACATTAGATTCATAACAATCGTAATAATAATATTAAACTTATAGTTATTATTTACTTGGAAATTGTTCGTATTGCATACACGTCAATGATATTGTAAAATGCATAATGAATTAGCTTTTCGATCTTATATCATCATATGTAGAGTATATTTTAATAAAGACTATATCAGATATATTAAAATGTTGTAACATGAATAATAAAAGTACGCAATGGGCACTAGCTTTGTCAGTCCACTGCAAAAACTGGTACGTACACAATTAGAGTATGAATGAGATCGTGTCCGGGTGTCGGAGGAACCCCGGGGAGTCCTCTCTAGTTCAGGTCGCGCCCGGACATTCAGAATGAGAACCGTGGAGTGTTTGTTTGAGAGACTGAGTTTTGCAATTTTTTAAATATAGGGTTAGGTAGGTAGGTAACTTTCTGGTGTGTGTGTGTGCTTAATCTAAGTAGGTAGGGTCAGGGCAGGACTGTCCACATTAGTAATTCGGGTAGGCGCGTTTTCGCGTGGCAGTTCTGTTCCTGTAGTTACGATTTCGAGAGTAGAAATTTTGCTGATTCAAACGGTGCACTTGTGCTGTT